ATAATATTATATGATATTATATAATATAACATTTTTTATAAAATATAACGGACTTAATTAGATTGAGTGGAAGTATATCTTCAAAATAGCTCGTTTAGGTACTCTAAATGTCTAAATTCGGGTCAGGTGCCGTGCATTTCCTTCGCGGATCCCGCAAATTCCCGGGCGCCCGTCATCGCCGATTCAGAAAATGTCGGTTACTTTCAATAAAGCTCTGATCATTTCGTTTCAAAAAGGTTTACTTCTCTACACGGCTCCCCGCTGTTTCCCCTCCCTCTTGTTTCCTTCTCCCTCTCGAGTCCCGAAAGCTTTGGGATTTCAACATTTTAGTAGGGCTGTTGAGGTGTGCGAACTTTGAAGTGCGCTCCTGAGAAATAAAAAAGGATGATTCTTTCGGCTTTTTAACTTCAGTCGGTATCAATTCCGATCTCTGTTTCCTCTTATTCACACTCAGAGCAATAATAGCTGCTGCTTCATCCCTGTGATACAGGTCAGCTGGGTGGACTGACATTATTTGGATGTTCATATTTTTTGTGTTGGTTTATAGCCCTTTTTTTGGTCTGTTACCTAAATTTTGCATTCATAAAATAGAAGTATTTCTTTCCTTTTATACTATTTTATAGTCAGTTTTTATTGCAGTCTTTGCAGATGGCCTCATGGTTCAGACCTCATACTAACTTATAATGGAGAAATCTTCACATTCCTTTGCAGACTTCCATGTGATTTTCCTAACCTGACAACACATTGATTCTCTCCATTCGTCTGCGTGGAAAATGAGCACAGCGTTGGTTTTCAAATAAGAAGCCTTAGATCTGATTATATTGGAATAGCTTCTGTACAAGTATCAATAGTTGTAGAGTGGCAAGAAAACATTCTTGGATGGTTTAAATGGTTTGGACTGTGGGCAGTTTTCTAAAAAAATTTCACTTCCTTTGGAATCTTCTTTTTCAATGCATGCTAAAGATCAAGAAACATAATAAGTTAATAAAAACTGCACCACTTCATCTCCTATGATATTTTGGATTATTTATGATATTTGAAATAGTAATTTGAAATTATTCAAATGGTTAAAAGAAAATTTTTAGCTGAGCTTCAGCAAGAAAGTGAACATGGATTCTGTATGGAATTTTAAGGAACTATAATTAAGTTTTTCATGTTATTTCAATTGGCTGCTTCTCCTAGCTATTGTCAAATAGAGAAGACCATTATGATGTTGCCTTTTGGGTATGAGCAAAGCAATACATAAATGTGGATTGTGGGTCGTCTACATGGGACATTGGATGCCTAATGAGCTCTGCCCTTAATTGGAGTTAAACTATGCATAGAGAATGTGTTCTTTCTTACTAACTTATCATGTTTCAGAGACTATCTGTTAAAATTTTCATCTGTGATTATGTTCTCTATTCCAATTGTCTTGGTTTGCTTCCACTATTTCTATGGCTGTCTAGGAATCACCTAAATAACCTAAGTATTGTGTGTTATGAAGTGTTTTGTAAAGAAAGATAGAGAAGACCAGAATGATCCTACCTTGTCTGAGTTTCTTGAAACTTTACTCACTGCATATCATGATCTAGATTTGATGCCAATCCAATATTCCGGGTGCACTAGCTACTGAAGTTTGAAGTTGCCATATCTAGTTCTAGTAGTGTATTAATTCTGTAGATGGTCTGTGATGCTAACAAAAGGAAATCCCTTCTGTTCATATATTAGATGAAGCCTTTCCAAAAATTAGGTTGCTACTCCATAATATAGTTTTTGCTTTTGTTGTTTACCTGGACAGTTAGACACCATGCCATGTTGATTCCCCCCTTTTTTTTAATCTTTTTTGCCTCCAAGAAATCTCTAAATGTGGCTTGGTTCCATATCTTTTGCAGAAGATTTTCATTCTCTAGAATTTTGGATTCTGATATTCCAATACACATAAACCATCTTTGACAATATTACAGATCCCCACATCAATTTCAATATTCTAAAAGCCCATATTAATTCATATAAGTTTAATTTTGTTTATTTATATTTTCTATCATATGTTAGAATATTTTTACACCATATGAAGATAAAAGAATTTTGAATTTGTAACCTTTCAGGATCTTGGTCTCTCTGTCTGCTATAGGACCAAGGAATCAGCATATGTATCCTTTGAAAAATGTGAGTTGTTCGTTGTCTGTCAATTTTGATCCTGTTGTACATGCCAAATGCAACAATCTCATCCTGTTTATCTATTTTGTCTATGGCATTGACTTTTACTATTAGTTTATAACCAGATTGAAGTAGCAGTGAACGAATGGCTTATACCTAGGTTTCCATTATGTAGAATTCTGATAGATAGAGTCGAATCATGCTGAAGCAGTTAATTAATTAGGCTCAAGCAGACAAATTTCTCCTTTTTGCGTTTGTCATGTTAGTCATGAGGAAGCATCAGGACAAGACATGTGGTGGCACAAGCCAGATTGTAACTCTAGTCAGTAGTTACCAAGAGGTCATCCTAAATTTTATGCAACCACAATATCAGCATTATTTTGTGTACAATAATCATACATCTTTATTTACATATTTATTTATCTATTGCTGAGAGTGCATCTTTGTTTTATTTCTATTTTGTGTGCATAAATTATTAAAAATGCCGTTGGGTGTGGTTAATATCAATGATGTAAGAAAACCAACATACCAAATGCAAAAAAAGGGAAAATTTGTCCCATTGGACGAATGATCTTTTTTTCAATGTCAAGGGTGTAATCCCCCACCAAATCCATGGTTTATTACTTGTGTCAACTGTGTCAAAGTTAGTTAATCTCATGCACTCATTAAAATTTAATTCTTTGATGCATAATACTTTAGGTTACAAAACAGGGAATGGCTCTTTTGCATCTCATAATCTGTTAATTTATTCCAAGGATTTGAGACATGGCAGTTGAAAGCTATGACCAATTTGTACACTAAATTTTAACTCGATTAACATTCATTTAAATTTAGGTATACTTTATATTAACATATTTAGTTGATATGCTGCAAGATAGTAGATACTATTTTCTTTAGCATATGGCAGCTTGAGCAAAACTAGAGGTGTCAACCAGGTCTAGTAACCTAAGAAACTATTCACTCATACACATTGGATTAAGAGATTTGAACCCAAAAAATTGAAGACTTACTCAAAAAAATCATCCTTAATTTACTAAACAAACCATCCATACATCATGTCAAGGTCTATTTAGCCATTTATTTAGATAGTAAGTCTATTTTAGTGATAATATATTAGATTATAGAATGTGTATCTTGTTTCAGTTAACCTCAATGAAATAATAAACCAACATATCAAACAGAAAAGCAAAAATTTGTCCCATTAGAAAATCTCTATGCTTTTTCTTCAACCAAATCTCAAATTTAATCATGTGAGCCAACTTTGTTTTAACACTGTGCATTACAGTTCACCATTTCATTTGTACCTTGAAATTTTAAATTTGATCTATATTCAATTTGAGCTCCAGTTGTAACTTCTTTTTTTTTTAGGGCCAAAAACGTTATGCAACTCAATTGTAACCTCAATTACAAAATTTCATTGACATATTTATTGAATATTAAGGTATTAGCTTTTTTACAGAATTATTCCAAATTATTGCTGATCATTATTCAATACAAGAACTCTGATCAAGTCCATGATTGGATAATTATTTTAATATTTAAAAAATCAACA